ACAGCAAGAGGGGGGGAGTGGGTATGAGTCAGCATTAAATATCTCTAACATTAGGGCTTTAACCTTATCATGTACAGAATTTGCCCTTTGGCCTTAGTGGGATAGATCCTGAACACTTAAGCCATTGCTTTGTCTACATGATAATATTCTTGGGGTTGGGGAAGATGTGTGATACGTTGAACATAGAATGGGCATGTGAGAATACGGTTTTCTAGGCAAATGGCTACCCGGGGGTGGGGGTGGGGGGGACACCAAAGTCGGAGGAAGCCCTAAAGGGAGTTTATAACATATCAGCAGACGATGGCTAGCAATAGGGTATTTTGTAGGAGGCTGGTCTAGGGTTTGTGCATATAAAGTTAAGGTGTGGTATATTTGGTCAAAAGATCTTTCAACTTGATATCATTTAAACTGGGATGAAATGTTCAACTCCACTGGCTGACTGTGGGGTCTCAGTTGCTTAATACTACTGAGCCTGTTTCTACACCTGTGAAAAAAAAAGGGGTTATACCTGCCCCATGTTCTTTTATAGGCTTGTTTGTAGAATCACATGAGATGAAGTATTTTTTGTGAAAAGTGGACTCTCTGCAATTTTAAGTTGAATAGATGTGGACGTACTATGTAAACTCGAGAGCGCTATATAAAACATAATGTTTGGGGGTGTTATTATTACAATGATTATCAGGAGAAATGAAAATAGTATCAGAGTAGAAGGGAGGACCACAGTGATTCCCTTCCGAGTAGTCACCTGAGTTCATCTCCCTTGATTTGTATTCTTAGAAGAACGTGAAGACATATTGACTCCATTCTACATTTGCATATTATGGATTGCCACTAGCATGCCTTGAGTGAAAATCTTTATGGGGAAAAAAAGGGTGCTATTGCATCAGGCTGTACTATAGCGGCCTTTATTCACCCTCTCCTGAGTATTTCTGCCTTTTTGCCTCGAGACGAGAAAAAAGTAAATATTTCAAGTGAACAGCCTAAAACTGCCATGTTAAAACAAACAAACAAAAAATACAATGTGTGTCTCTTGTTTAGTCCTGATACACGGAAACCAACTATAAAAAGACATCTTCTAGGTAATTACAGAAATTTGAATGTGGATTCGGTGTAAGATGAAGCAACTGCTGTTCGTTTTACTAGGTGCCTTGCTGTCACGGTGTTCGGGAAACCATACAAACAAAACGTGACCTTATCATTCAGAAATTCATACTGAAGCATTTACACATGAAATGACATGGCATCCGGGATTAAACCAATCCAGCAGGCCAAGAAATAAACAAACACAATTAGGGAGGGCACTCGTAGGTGAGAGGTGATATTGGCAAAATTATGATTGCTGTCGGAGCTGATGCTACAAGGGAGCACATTTGAGTATTCTCTTTTTATGCTGGAAGATTTCTATAATTAAAAAAACTTCAACAAATTTTATGTAAGAGGATGAAGTCATCCTCGGGAGTGTGGAGAAGCTGCTAGAAAGCCTTTGTGAACAATGAGTACTTCCGGAAACATCATAAGCAGCTCAGGCCAAGCGGGGAATTGTGTTCCGCTCTGGAGCCCATTTCATCTGTGAGTGTGGCTGAGAGATGGGTTCAAA